GGGGCCATATGTGAGCAGCTGTAGCTAAAGCTGAAGCTGAGCCTGAATTGCAATCCTGTAGCCGCTGCACATCCTGGCTGCGGGACTTTCAATGTGCCATTACGTTTACTTTAGTTTGGGCAACGGAACGGGAAACGGAACTTCCTTTGCCAGCGGGCCACAGCGTCCGGTAATTTACGACTAGTTATGAAGGGCTTTCGACCAAATTGTCAGCATGCATCAATCAATCAATCAATCAATCAATCCATAAATCCATCGATCGAGTTTATCAATCGAACTTTAAGCTAAGATTCTTTTACGCTTACCACTCAGCTGAGACTCGTTCTGTCTGTGTCTGTGTCTCTCCCTCTCCCTCTCCCTCTCCCTCTCCCACTCTCTTTGGCCATTACTCCTACATATAGCTTGCTCTTCTTACTAACTGCTTTCCATTGAAAGCAATAAATGAGCATGGAGGGCCTAGATTCCTCCTTTGATAAACGTTAAAAGTTTATCTCTTCAGCGAGTTAACTCGAAAGTGCATATTAATTTTTGCCCAACATGGAGGAACTTGCTAAAACTGTAAAGTGACCCTGGAGGCGCTCTCTATGATTTTGTCTTCTTCCGCTTGCGTGTTGCCCTGCCGCTTGCACTGGTGCAGTCCACGCGACCGGGCAACACACTTAGCTGTTGATCATATTACCGATGCCTGAGTGATGGTCTATCCACAGAGAGTTACCCAGTTCTTCTGTTTTCCCCCTACCCTTTCACTACGTCCCGATCTTGTTGATAACATGCTACGAGCACACCTGTGCATTTAGAAAGGAGTCCAGCTTTTTGTACCATAATTGTTATTTATATAATGCTTAAGTTCGTATCTAAGTGAAGGTGTAGATTGAGTGTAAGAAACACAAAAGAATTCCAAATTATTTCAAAGGAGAAATAAAAAGCAACAACAAAACGTTAATAAGCCGAACTTAACGCTCCACAACCCCCAGATCTAACCACTCGAAACTACTATCACTGCCAGAAAGTACGTTAAAAAAAAAAGCTAAAATACCAGCTTCCGCATTCTCGAAAACTAATATAATTTGGACTTACAAAAGTATTAATTCAATATTCATGCCAAACTACAGAGATCTACGATAAAATACGAGCAGTTCTTGAGCCTAGGCAAATATGTAGTGCAATTCGCCCCATTTGAAAATTGTTTTTATTCTCTAAACCTGATCAAAGAAAAAACAAGAAAAAATGCCTTTAAAAAAAATTTAAAAATTTAGTATTTAGGAATTTTTTGTAACTGGAGAAACATATGTTTAAGTTCCAAAGTGCATAGAATATAGGCTATAATATTAGCGATATGTATATATATACATATAAATATACAGTGGAATTCGGTTATAACGACTCCGCTTATAGCGTTCGTACGGTGATTGCGACGAAAATTTTGGTCCCCAGACAAACTTATATGAGAAAAATAATACGGTTAAAGCGTTTTCCGGGTATACCGACAGTACCCTGAGCGTCGTTATAACCGGATTATATTGTATATACATATTTTTAAAGTTTTTTAGTAAGTTCATTTAATGTTAGGAATTCGTATATTTATAATCTATTTTGTAGCTGTATATAATAATTTTTTTTTTTTTTTTAACCATAAATTTCTTTCCACTGCTCGGTAATTGTAAATAGCTTCAGTAATTTTATTGAAATAAATTTAAACACACCATTTGAAACAAACGCAATTTTTAATTTTACAACTGACGTTTATCAACGCACGCGTAGCGCCATCTGTGAGCAAAGGCGGTCACTATATTTCTGGTGCCGCCTAAAAGTGTGCTACAATTTATGCATTTCTGCGGCATATGAAGTTCGGCAAACAGCCGCTTGGACTTGGCCAAAACGAATTTGTCGTTTGAGATGATTTGAATGCTTGAATGCATTGGAAATATAAAAATTGAGTTGATCGACCAAAAATAGCGCAGAGTTCCTGAGGATTTTCTGTAATAATCCGTAACAATTAATATAATAAATCATCAATATTGTTGTTTAATCTTGGATTCCTTATTAAAATATATATATTAAAACACACCAGTTATATGTGCTTTATTGTCATATTAAGGACTATATTCATATTTATATGGTTAAAATGAACGACATAGGACATTTCCAGCAAAGTACAGTGACTCTATGTTCCAAAGCCTTAAGAAGTCACTAAAAGAAATTATCTTCTATCAAAGAAATCCATTCAAGCTCAAAGCTGCTGCTGTCCAATTTCGAGCAACTGCCAAGTTGAATTGGCGCCATCTGTGGGCAGGCACTATAAGCAATCTCACTTCCCCCAGAATAAAATCCAAATTTGTTTTTTTTTATAACGGTTTTTATTTTTGCTTGCTTACGAAACTTAAAATTCGCCATAAACTAAATGGTTTTTTGTTTTCACTTCACATAATTGTAATTTAATTAATTAACTAAATAAGAATACGCACACAAAATTAGTGTTCAATGGAAGCAACTGTTGCAACATTAACAAAATTCATGGAGTACAGTTAGAAATGTTTTTTTTTTTTTTTTTTTTTTTTTTTCTAAGTTTTTTATATATAATAAAAACGAGAAAAATTTATACTTATTTATAACAAAAATGTAACTGGCATTGTGAAGAAAGCAATAGAACGATATGTCTATGTTCTATCGTTATCGATCAATGTGTAAGGGAAGACATTGGTTTAAAGAATTTTGATATTACATTTTTTGTTTTCGTTGCGAAAGGGAAGAGCAAATGTACTTAAATTGTTTTTGTTTTCAAGAACCAAAACTTAAATGCATAAAATATTAAATAGAAATATGTATTTGTTAT